GATTTTTGAGTGTTGAATTTGTATCCAGCTATGGTACTGGATTTGGTTATTAAATCTAGAAGTCTTTTGGTGGAGTCTTTGGGGTCTTCTATGTAGAGTATCATGTCATCTGTAAATAATGATGCTTTAACTTATTCCCTTCCTATCCTTATTCCTTTTATCTCTTTCTCTTCTCTAATTGCTCTGGCTAGTGTTTCCAGAACTGTATTGAATAAGAGTGGTGATAATGGACATGTTTGTTTTGTTCCTGATTTTAGAGTGAACATTTTCAATTTTTGTCTATTTAATATGATGTTGGCTGTTGGTGTGTCATAGATGCCTTTTATTAGATGGAGATAAAGATATTCTATTCAGTTTTCTATAAGGTTTTTATCTATTCCAGTTTTCTATAAGGTTTTTATCAAGATTGGGGGTTGGTCTTTGTCAAGCTCTTTTTCTCCATCTATTGAGATGATCATATGCTTTTGTCCTGGGTTCTGTTAATATGGTGTATTACATTTATTGATTTGTGTATGTTGAACCATCCCTGCATCCCTATGATGAAGCCTGCTTTGTCATGATGTATAATCCATTTGTTCAGTAATGGTTTAGTTCTGGTATTTCTTTGTTGATTTATTCAGTTGATTTGTCTGTTTATGACATGGGGTATTGAGCTCCCCTATTAGAATTTTATTAGTGCTTATTTGATTTTTCATGTCTGTTAATATTTGTTTTATATAGTTAAGTGCACTAGCATTTGGTGCATATATATTTATGATTGTTATCTCTTCCTCTTGGATTGTTCCATTTACAAGGATGTAGTGACCTTGTTTGTCTCTTTTAATCAGTCTTGGCTTGAAATCCACTTTGTCTGCAAATAAAAAAACTATCCCTGCTTTTTTCCTGGTTCCTGTCACATGGAGTATTGTTTTCCATCCTTTGACTTTCAGTCTGTTAATTTATTTTTGAATTAAATGTGTTTTTTGTACGTAGCCTATTGTTCAGTCTTGCTTCTTGATCCATGAAGAATCATGTCTGTTTGTTTTGATTGGTGAATTGAAACCATTTACATTGATGATTATTACTGTTATTTATCTACTTATTCTTATCATGTTATTTTCCTGTTGGTGGTTCCCTCTTTTTTCCCTTTCAGTTTAATTGCTTACCTTGCCTGGTGGATTCATTGTGTTAGGGTTCATGGAGTTACAGTCCTTGTAATCTCTTTCTAGAATGTCTTTCAGAACATTTTGGAGTGCTGGCTTGATGGTCATGAATTTCTTCAGGTGCTCTTTGTCATTGTAGTATCTTATTTCTCCATCAATTTTGAAAGATAGTTTTGCAAGGTACATCAATCTGGGGTGGAGGTTGTTTTCTTCTAGGGGTTGAAATAGTTCACTCCAAGCCTTCCTTGACTTCAGGGTTTATATTGAGAAGTCTACTGTGATTCTGATGGGCTTTCCATTGTAAGTGATTTGTTTCTTTTCTCTAACAGCTTTTAATATTCTGTTCTTGTGTTGAATTTCCAGAACCTTGATTATTATATGCATTGGTGTAGATTTTTTTTTTTTGATCATGGCTAATTGGAGTTCTATATGCTTCACTTATCTGCATGTCAGATTCATTTTGCATGCTTGGGAAGTTTTCTGCCATTACTTCTGTGAATAGGGTTTTTATGTCCTTTATCCTATCTTCTAGGTTTTTATTGAATCCAATCAATCTTATGTTGTTCTTCTTTGTATCATCTAGCAGCTGTTGGATTGATTTTTCTTGGTCCCTTGCTATTTTTAAGAAATCTTTCTTTTCATGATCACTAACAGCAATCTTGTATTCTATATCTGGTATTCTGTCCTCATATTGGCTTATTCTGCTGAGTATACTTTCAATGGAATTTTTTTATTATTAATTTTATTGGTACATTTTAAGTATAGAGTATATTGACATTCATCTTTGGAAATTTATACCTTTACATAATCTGTCTTGGTTCTTATTTTTTCCTCATTCCCCTGCCCTCTCTTCAACTCCTCCACACCTCCCTGTTTTCAATGGAATTTTTAATCTCCTGGATATCTGTGAATCTTTCATGGATTCCATTTCTTTTCAGTGTTGGATTTAAAGGTTTCCATCGTTTTCCTAAGCTCTTCTATTTTTTAATCTGTATCTTTTCTAGACTCACTAACCAAGTCTTTTTGTTATGGTTACCATCTCTGTAGTTATCTGAGAAATTATTTCTGATTTGATTTTTCTAGAGCCTCATTCATCTGCTTTGTTACTTCTGCTGGTACCACTTCAGAGAGTCCAGGTGGGTGGCTTTTGAATTGTTCCATTTCATTGCCCCTGGGGTTTGCCTTTGGTGAGGTAGAAGTCTGGGGTTGCATCTTGTTTAAGTGTCTTCTCATTTTTCTTTTTTTTTTTTTTCAGTTTAATTCTTCAGTTGATGCTTGCAAATGCTTATAGCGAGTAGCGTTATTGCTAGTATTTAGAACCCTTAGGAAATGACTACTTCTTAAGAGATGTCTTCCAAGTGTAGTTGGTTTTTTGGGTTTTGAGTCTGTTGGAAGATCCTACCCCTTCAATTTATTGGAGATAAGAAGTTGCTGCCTATTTGGCCCTGGTTCTTTGGGACTGGCCTATAGTATTATTTATGACCCTTATGCAGTCTCAGTCTTGGCACACCAGGAAGAACTGATTAGAACAATTATGTCACCCTGTTTAAAGTACTACAATCAGCAGTAACAAATCAGCAGCAGCTAACAGCCTAGAAAATGACAAACTATGGTAACTATTAATTTGCTACCTTTAACTGTTTGAACTATATTCGTGGTTATATAGCAAAATAAACCAGAAAATTGTATACAGTAAATATGCCCTCAATATGGTGATTTCACCCTCAGATCAGAAAATTTAAAAGGGGTTTGGGGAAAAATAGAGAAATAGAAGAAGAGGAAGAGATTAGAAGCAAGACTGGAGGACAAAGGAAGATTTTGCAAACTTTGGAAAGCTGGTAAAGAAGACAGGAGGGAAAGAATGAAGCAAGAAATATAAACAAAAGCAGAACAGTACAAAAACTAGCAACAATGTTCATTTTCATATAAAAACAAGAAAAAATCAAGAAAAAACAAAACAAAAAGGAAAATAAAAGAAGAAAAAAAAAATGTCCCCTGCAAAGTGCATCTGTGCTGTTACTGGTAGGCAAAATTGGCAGAGAGCCCAGATCCAAGTTGATTAATCCCAGCATGCCAGCTATAGATTTACAATGGGGTAGTGAATAATCCCAGCAAGCCTGCTCCTTTAATTCTACTGAAGTTCAGGCTGTTTTTCTGGTTGTGAGGCTGTAACCCAATTTGTTTAACCTTCAACACTCTGTGTGCCTCCTGCTGACTTGAACTTGGCTCCTTGCTGGGTTGAACTGGGCTCCTTGACCTCCTGCCAACTTGAATTCAGTTTTGCCTCACTCTGATGGAGCCAGCCCATAGTTGCTCTGAGTTCCAAGCTTAGTTGGCCTCTCTCCAAGATGGCTATTGGCCAATCACCCTCTCCTAGGGGACATCTGAACCCAAGTAACTCACAAGTCACTGCAGTTCTCTGCATCTATTGCTTTGTTCCATTGGTGCATTTTTCTGAAGGCCTCTGGGGTCACCAGTAGTCACCATGGGTCTGCAGGTTTGGGCTGCCCTTCCCACGCAGTGAGTCAGGATTAGGGAGAAAGCATTACTTGCTACCTCTTTCTTCATTGAAGTTTCTGTTAGCCCTCCCTGTGGGCTTTAGTTCTTCAGATTCTTGCTCAAAATATTTGTTTTTGATCTTGGGATCGCTCCTTTCTTCTCTCCACTCTGTCCCACCCACCAGTCTAGATCTCTTTTTTAAATACTTTATTAATGTAAATGTAGAAGTGTAGAAGGGTAGTGACCCACTATCCAAAGATGGTCTCTGTTAAACAGCACACACACAGCCTGACCCATGCATATATTAAGGGGAAAAAGAAGGAATAAAGTGTGTGTGTGAAAGAGAGAGGAAGAGGGAGAGGGAGAGGGAATGAGAGAGGAAGGTCTAAAGTGAAAAATCCTCCGACTAATTACACCTTGTCCTTCCCTCCTAAAAATACGTTTCCTGTATCCTGTACTTCTGAAGACAGTTTTCACCATAACCCAGAATACAATTAGTCATCTGAACACACATAGGCAATGATGTACATACATTTTTGCTTTTTTAATGTATGTACTTTTTTGCTTTCTTTTTCATACATACTTTGAAGATCTCCTTCAGACATTTATTTACCTCATTCTTTTTATAACAGCTATGGTTTTTCATTGGGGAGATATTCTTTATTTCATTAGCCTTAATGACATTGTTGAGCAACACCTGGATATTTGGGAGCACATTAATGGTTTCTGCCGCTTTTACCGATACTAAACTAGCATTAAGCTGCAGAAAGAGGGGTGAGGCATTGTGTAATATTTCATTAGGGAAATAAACTCTTTGTGTGTTAGCAACATGCCTGTTCGTTAAGCTGTTGGCTGCAAAGTGGAAGTATCTGGGAGATGCTGCCTTTGACTTGATTTTGCTACCGCATTTTAAGGAAAATTGATATTGACTGTATCCAGGAAAACTAGTTAAAACATTGTAGTTATACAGGGTGTATAAATTTTGTCTATAAGAATAGCTTCTCTCCACCCACACACACAGAAAAAATCAAAACAAAATTACAGTGACTTGGAAGAATTTTTAAAGATTTAGAGTGGAAAAGTGATGGTTTGTAAAGAATAGGTTGATTCTTTGATATTCCCAAGGATAGAACTAGAACCAACTGATGGAGTTAGGAACATTTCTCTTACAGTGGAGAATATTTATTTAGCAAACTGAGATCTTCTTAAAGCCAGCATAAACCATATGGTATCTGTGAAGAATATGACAAAATTTCTTTCTTATAATTAGTGATTGTCTGAGAAATCACAACAGTCCCTTCTCAGATCTGGATTTTATTATGAATGTCAAATTGAATATTCCTTTTTCTTTTCAAATAGGACACTGATGAAATTCAGGTTAACTATCCTGGAATGTTTGAATTGATGGAAGATTTACAAGGTAAGACATTTTAAAGAATTTTTAGACTTCATTTGTGACACATTTCATGAGTTCACCCTTTACAAGAATGAGGGTGAGCTCCCCGGAAAGAATGGCTGCTATCAAGAAATCAACCAGTGACAAATGCTGGAGGGGTTGTAGGGAGAAAGGCACCCTTCTACATTGTTGGTGGGAGTGCAGACCTGTGTAACCACTGAAATCAATACGGAGATACCTCAAAAAACTAGGATTAGAGGTTCCATTTGACCCAGCTATTCCTCTACTGGGTATCTACCCAAAAGAATTCAAAGAATCATGCCACAGTGATATATGCACACCCATGCTTATAGTGGCACAGTTTATAATAGCTAAAGCTTGAAAACAGGCCAACTGCCCATCAACTGGAGATTGGATAAAAAAGATGTGGTTTTTTTTAATAAAATGAAGTACTACTCAGGCATAAAGAATGAGAAACTAGAGACATTTATAGCTAAATGGTGCACATTGAGGCCGTACTCTTAAGTGAAATAAATAGGACATGTGTAAATGCCAAATAGTTTCTCTGGTATGAGAAACTAAAAGTGTAAATAAGGATCAAAATGTATAATTGATAATGTGAAATAGGAAGAAAAGGTCTAAAGGGTTAGGGAAAGTGGGAGGGGTAGGAGAAAGGAAAGAACAAAAAGGAAAAACTATGAGAAAAGGAAAAAATGGAAGCATAAATTCTTTGTAAATAGAGAGGGGTGGAGGGGTTGAAGGGAGGGGATGGGAATGGGGAAAAAATAAAACCCAAGATACATCATGTAAAGGTACAAGCTCCTAATGATAAATGTAACCATATTGTATACCTAAAATGTACCAGTAAACTTAATGGGGAAAAAAAAATGGGGGTGAACTCTAGGGAACCATTGGTGAGGAGAAAGTAGTCTTATGAAACTTAACAATATAAAGTGACCAAAGCTAGCACCAGGAAGCTGTCACACAGTGTTAAATTAGAAATGTAATCAGGATTGTGAAGTAGATGGCACATGGTGCTATGGCTGCTTCCAGAAGAATGGTAGGAGTTTTGAAAAGTGTGTTTCAGGATGGTAGAACACACCAGGGACTCCTTCCAGCAACAAGTGCCTTCTCAGGTTCAGCTACAAGAAAACAGGTAGTTGGGTTAATTTAAGACTTAAGTTTTGTCAGGGAGATAAATCCTGGACTGAGAGACTCAAAGAAGTCTTCAGAAAGAGGCAATGAAGCTGTGCTGTAAAGAAATGATGACTTAAGTAGATAGAAACGGTAGACAAGTGAGTCCCAGGCTAGGAGAACCGCGTATTACAAAGACCCTGTTGCAAGAAAGAACATGGCAGGAACTGAAGAAGTGCATTTTGGTTAAGAGTACAGGGAGTAAGAAGGAGGGTGTTAAATGATGAAATTGGTTAAATGGGGGTCACATCATGCATCTGGACAATCTAGGTCTTGTTAAGATTGACCTCAAATTAATATGCCCTTTTCAATGGCACCCCGCCTGCCTCGCAAGTGCAAGGTCCTGAGTTCGATCCCCAGTACCGCAAAAAAAAAAAAAAAATGCCCTTTCAACATTTTAATAGGGAGAAGAGGTCACAATGTCAGATTTATGTTTTAGAATGAATTGGCAGATAAATGTATGTTTGTGCGCGCACACACATATAAGGGGGGAGAGGGGGAGGGTTACTGCAGTAAAGCTTGCTACGAAATGGAGGGGGTTTGGACTAAAGTAATAGCACTGGAAATGTAGAGAAGTAACTACATTCCCAAGATATTTAGGAAGGAAGGAAATTTGAGTTCTTGCTAATGGATTAGATACATATAGATAAAGAAGTATTTCAAACATGACTGCTGAATTTCTAGCTTCTAATTAGATAAATGATCCCCATCCTAGAAAGGAAACAGAAAATGACCAAATATTGGTGTGCAAGGATAGCTCTTGTGTTCACATTTAAATATATCTGGTGTGAAGTGCTTTTGAAATAGGGAAGAGGAGATGTCAAATAGGCATTTGGGTATATGAATAGGTAGTAGAGGAGGCCTTGGGCTTGTTCAAAATTTTTGTCAGCCAGGCGTGGTGCTGCACACTTGTAATCCCAGCACTCAGGAAGGTCAGGCAGGAGGATTGCCACAAGTTTAAGGCCATTCTGGGCTACCTAGAGAGTTCAAGGCCAGCCTAAACTGTGTAGTGAGACCTTGTCTCAAAAAACCAAAAAAAAAAAAAAAAGTTGTGTCATTTGAAAATAGGCAATATTCAAAGCAGTTGCCTTGGGCAAGAATGTGGAATGGAAAGAAAAAGGAAGTTGGTACTGATCCTGTTGAAGCCTACCTTGCAGCAGCTGGCTAGAAGGAGAATGAGCCTGCAGAGACTGAAGAAATATCCAGCAGAGTATTCAGTAGAAGCACCAGATAAGTGAAGAATTGCCTGAACCAAGTGAAAGAGGGTTTCTAAATGAAGGTAGCATTCAGCAGCATCAAAAGCAAAATACAGACTGAATCAAAAATCTACTAGAGTGAGGAACAAGAAGGTTATTGATGACTTTGGTGAATACTGTGTTTGAGTGAAGGGGGGAGTGGATTGAGGTGTAAGTGAAAGGTAAGGAACTTGAGATAGCAAATATCTACTATTCTCAGGAAGTTTTGGTGTGAAGAAAAGGTGAGAGATGAAAAGGTTACAAGTGTCAAGAGGAGAGGAATAAGAGATGAGGTTTTTTTTTTAATTTGGGTTTTCCTAAGACTTAGATATTTAACTACTGAGTGAAAGAATCCCGGTGCTTCCAAAGAAGAAAAGAGATGATGATGTCAAGTTCCTGAGTAGGTGAAGGGATGAGACACAATGGTCAGTGGGTGATGATAACCTTTGATAAGGAAAGGGGGAGATTTATAGAGGGACAGGTGGAGAGGTAGTCCTAATGAATATAGGTGTTTATGTTTGATAGCAGAAAGGTCCCACCTCGTGGATCTATTTTCTTTGTCAAATAGGAATGCTGTATGTTGAGAATGAAAAAGAGGTTTAAGAATTGTGTGGAAGCAGTTTGAAATAGTCATTTTAGAGAATGAGAAGGTGAATTGACCAGGTACAGAGTTGGAAGTGTACATTTGAAGTTAGTCAGGCACATCAACAACAGTTGGCAACTCAGGATTATGAACAAGCAGATATTTGAATTAGTTTGAGTTTGAGTTTTGCTAGTTGAGAGTGACAGAAGGACAAAAGCAAAACATGACTCCAAGCGCATAATTAAAATAATAGCTAAAGAATCTAAGGTAGGAGGGGAGTGCGCTGATAATTGAGAGAAAGGAGCTGTTCTGGGCAACCCCGGGAACATCAGAGAAAGGTCATGGTTTAGTACAGTGCTGGAAGATCAGGAGGGGGTGGCCTGAAGATGGGTGTTTGATGTTTTGGTCGTAAAGCAGTACACAATACTTGGGTCAGGGACATGTCCCTGGTGCAGAGACAGAGGTGGAGTGATGAGATTCATTAGAGATGAGTAAATTTAAACATCTTAGAACTTGAGGAACTTAAAGGTTATTAATGTTGAGGTCACTCAGGGTGGAGCCAGGATAGGAAGTGCAGAGGAGTCAGTGGCAGCTCCCTAGGTGAAGCAGGGGGTGCCTTGCCTGAGGGCTGACTGTGAAAGATACAGACCTCAGCAGGGCCAGGGTACTAATAGAGCTGGGGAAAGGGTGGCCTGGAAGAGGCTTTGAGACACAGTGGGGACAGAGATCCTTCTCCCCACTCCAAAAGAGGCAAAAATAAACACCTGCACTTGAGAGGGCTGCTGAAGAAGTAATTTCCTCAGAGGAGACCTTCAGCCAGCCTTCTTGGTGCGAGTGTGAGGTCCCTTTATTTACTTATTTTTTCTTTTTCACTAATGATAGTTTTGGTCGGTGGGAGAAGCTGAGGGAGTTAAAACTATGCTTTGTGAAACCAAAATTATATATACCAAGAGAAGTCTTCATCTGTATTCTGAAAAAATTGTTTGATGATTTAAAACAAGAGTTTTAGGGCTGGGTGTGGTGGTACATGCCTGTAATACCGGGAGGCAGGAGGATTGCTGAAAGTTGGAGGCAGCCTGGGCTACATAGTGAGTTCAAGGCCATCCTGAACTACATAGCAAGACCCTGTCTTTAAAAAAAAAAAAGGTTTTATTAAAATAACTACCTGAACTTTATTTACAGATTTATAGTTTTTTTATATATAAGGATTGTTACTTTTGCTTCTTTCAGTGTTCCTGTTGATTTCTATATTTTACTTCTCCCCTATGTTACAAGTGAAAACAATTTCAGGCCCAAAGAGAACACGTGACTATGACAGAATTAGGTGTAGCTTACCCATGCCTTTTCATCACAAGGTCCATTTCACCTATTGTCCAGTCTCCTCTGTATATGGAGCTTCTGTCAGCTTTTCAAGTGGAAATAGGCATAGCTGAAAACTTGTCACTGTAGTCATTTTTCCTAATAAAATATAGTACTGATAGCCTGTTGCACACCCAAGAAAACAAAAGAGCAATAAAAAAAAAATCACACAACCCCCTTCCTGAGCTTTGCCCAAACACTAAGCTCATCCAGTTATAATCACAGACCCTCTTTCTCTAAAGGCGGCAGAGATGGTAGTGAGCTGATTATTTCTCATTTAGGCTCCAACTTAAAAAAGAAATGTTCTTCAAATACTGCATTTATTTTTGTTCTGCTCTATAATAAATGCTGTGCTCATGATTCATCTCAAGAACAAAAAGAGAGACTGGAAATTAGATCTATCATTTGGAAAAGGTTACTGCCCACTGATTTAAAAATACAGTACCTTATGCTCAGTGCAGTTCTGAGTTTTTCTAATATCTTAATTTTACAGGTGAGCAAATTTAAGCATCAAGAAGTATTCTGTCTGTGGTAACAGTAAATCTGGAGTTATACTTTGAATCCAGAGACCTATGCTGTATACTTTATAATATGTGGAGTTTTTTTTCTTTTTCTTTTTCTTTTTTTGGTACTGGAGATTGAACTCAGGACCTTGTGCTTTTGAGGCAGGCACGGTGCCACTGAGTTAAATCCCTGGCCCTATGTGGATTTTTTAACAATTGAAGTTAGAATATATGTTTAGTGGGCAAGGGATTTAGCTCAGTGGTTTCGCCACCTGCTGCACAAGTGCAAGGACCCAAGTTCGATCCCTGGTACCAAAAAAATAAAAAAGAATATATGTTTAGTAATGTGCCTTAGTCTTAAAGGAACCCAGACAAGTTATAGAACTCCTCTAGCTCCCCAGGAGGTTTCCTTGGGCCCCTTCCCACTTGGTAACTATCCCCCTTTTCCCTTGAGGGTTTTAAATAGTTCTTTGGAAGAACTAGTTATTTGGAAGAACTATTCCTAATATATACCTTTAAGAAACTTTGCCAGTTCTCTTATTTTTACTATGAGGCCTTTTACAGAAATCATGCACTTTCGTGTCTCATCTGTAGGAGGATTAAGAGGAATTACCTAAAGATAACTTGTAAAAGTGATATTTAACAAGCTAGATAGAAACATTAAGTGGTTAATTTTTATATTCATTCACTTACCATTTACTGAGCATCTATCATGTGTCAACCACTGAGCCAGTGGTGGAAATACATAGTTCTTAATCTCAAGGTGCTGATATTCTAGAAGGAGACCCACAGATATAGACAGATAAGCCTTCAACTGTAAAGTGAGAGAAACATAAGAAAGCTTCCAAATCTGTTCAGAGTGTCAGGGAAACTTTCATAGAAGAAGTAGCACCTAGGCTAAAATGAGTTTGCCAGAAGATTGAAGAGGATGGGGGCAGGTTTGGGGGAGCTGAGCTTTGTATTCTGCACAGAAGACACAGCCTATATAAAATCATGGAGGCATTAGAGTATAGTATATGCATATCCTTCACTGTCTTGATGCAAGAACTGAACAGTATCTCAATATGTAACATGGGGAGAGATAAGAAATGATAGAGGATCAGAGGTGAGCCTTGTAGTGTCTTGAAATAATTTTTCATGAGGGAGAAATAGTCACATTGGTATATTAGAAAGCTCACTCTCTAGCATTATTTGTAAGGCATAGTTTATAAAGAAGGTTAGACCAGCAATGGCATGGGTAATGTCTTGTTATGTATGAGAAAACCGAGGCACAGAGAAAAGAAACTTACCCAAGATGGTATGGTTAGTAAGTAGGACAGGCAGCCTTATTTGTATTATGATACCTCAACCACTGTACCATGGAAAAAGTCAGAGACAGATAGGGTGGGAAGTATGGTTTTGGGGGACTGGAGCAACTTGAGAAGTTCCAGGTGTGCTGCTTTGCTACTGGAAGATGATGTTTCTTCCAGTTGGTATTTACGTTTGTGTCACTCTTCTTCCTTAGTGGTTGTGGTATATCATTTAAGCTGCCATTGTTATTAATTCACAGAAAAAAAAGTCCAGAATGTTGACCTAATTTTACAAAACAAGTTGCTTGTCAGCTGATGAATACATGAGAAATTTTCAAGGCTTTCACAGTGATTTTAAGGTAAGCTCAGTTGTGTTGTTTTTTTTTTTTTAGGCAATACTCAGTATTGTCCCTAGTGAACCATAATAAGATTTTGATGTTGTTTTCTTTTTTTAATAGGCAGTTGAACTTAACCTTAAAAACACTGTGAGAGTCTTATACAGTTGCCTGCTGGCCAAATTTTTCTCTTCTCCTAAAATCCAGAATGAATTCAAAGTCACGAATGTTTTTCTTAAGTGTTTTTCAGAAAAACTTCACCTTTACTGTGAAATATTATTCTATTTTAAGGATGATAAAATTGATCTTAATCGAGGCTCAGGCCAGGTAACATAAGATTGTGATCCAGAAATTCCAATTCTTTTCACCACTGTATGGTGCTGCTGTGAGAGGAGGTTCAGATGGCAGTGGGCTGCTCTTGGGAAGAAAGAGTGGGCCTCAGCAGCAGCAGTTACTGCCAGTGCTGTCTAGCAGAGCTCTTGAACTTCTCTGTGGCTGACCTGTGTCAGACCTACAGAGACAGGATTTGCCTACTAATCTTAATTAGTATATCTAATGTCAATTGGTCAGAAGGCATTTTAGAATGTCTAGTACATCAAGTATTTATTTTCATTAACATTAAATCGGATTTCCACTGGTGTTGTCCATGTCTAATATAAGATAATATAAGATATGACCTATAAGCCCAGGACAATGGAAAGTTGAGCAGAAACAAAACCACCGAGTCCTTCAGTCGTAGACTCTTCCAGCATGAGTCCCAAGTCACTATGCAAGAGAATATTTTTAAATTAGATTAGGCAGTGGGTCTAAAATAGCACCAGAAGCTTGTAGAGTTCGTCTAGTTTGGCTGTCTTGAACCTATGGTGGTGAACCTATGGCTCGCGTACCACAGTGGGCTATTTGTATTACTGAAAGCTCTAAAAGGTTCACCACCACTGGTCCAGAGTGATTGTTTCATGACAATTAGAATAAGCTTCTGTTTCATGATGATTCATCTGCTAGTTTGTACTTCATGAATTGGGACTATTAAACTCATAGGATGCAGGACATTGAGTTTAGAATCAGAGATTCATTATTTTAAGAATAATATGAACCTTTTGAGATTGGAGAGAAGAAAAGGTTTAGTTGTTACAGCTAATTTTTTATTGTTTTTAATAAAACTATTGAAATTTGGTAGATTATTTTAAAATTTGAATACTGATACTGGGAGGTTTGTTTTTTGATCTGTGAAAGCAGAAAAACAAAAGTAAGAAACTGACACTTAATCATGTGGTAAAGTTTAATAAAAGAATATAAAGGACTTTTATTGTTGAAGTTCTTTGTTTTATAGACTGGTTTAAAATATGGCCTTTCAAAGTAATTTTAACTATATGCAAAAAGAAAAATCAGATATATAAGTATACAGCATTAATTTTTAATAAACAATAGAATAATGTCCTAGCTTTTTTTTTTTCTGGTACTGGGAATCAAACTTAGGACCTTGTGCTTGCCAGGCAGGCATGGCACCACTGAGCTAAATCTCCAGCCCTTGTCCTAGCTTTTAATCATCAATTTTAAAGAAGTCTAAAAATAAATTGTAAAATACTGGAAACACCTTTAAAAATGCACATAATTTTTACTTAATCTTGGAGTTGTAAAATCTGAAAACAGTAGTTTTGATACTGTCGAGTTCCATAGCCTTCTCTTTCGAGTTTCACAGTCATATTTTTTGTCTTTAAAGGAATGAGGCATTGTGCCATTGTTCTGTCCTCTTTCGAAGAACAGAGCTAAAAGGGACATAAGATGTGTCATGCTTAGGTGCTTGTCAGTACTTAATGACTCATGTGGAGGGTCAGTCTTTTTGCTTTTGCCCAACTGGCTTACTTTAGACTGCTGCTGGCAAGGAAATCATTGCAGGGCTTCCCTCCTGAGCTTTCACTCCTTCGTCTGTCTTAGTATTCAAGAGGTTTCAAGCAGTTTTGCTTCAGAAGTACTGAGAAGCCTGGCTGTAATCTGAAAGTGAAATGAGATTTAGGTTGTTTTACATGACTGTCAGAGATGGAAGATAGATAACACTGTTGGAAGAGATGTGTTAAATCTGTGATTTTGAGCTGCTCAGTGTTTACTGTATTTTCTTAAACTGCCTGTAATATATTTTTAGGTATGGGAGAGAGTAACTGTTCCTGGAATAGAAAAGCCCTGCTGCACCGAGACACGATGCTGGCGGCTGCAGCAGTTTACAGAGGTGAGTGGGCTGACCACACCTCACCTGTGCCTTGCTAGGAAGCTTGAGCCACGCCATGTCGATTCCCGTAACATTACCAATGTTTTTTGGTTTCCTGTGAAGATACAGTCAGACTTCATGTCCTTCCTCTCAAAACACAGATCCTGTAGGTCTGAATCTTTTTCCAAAGAGCCTTTTTCCCCTTACTGTCAGCCCCTCTGTATTAAGAATTTTTCATGTGAGGCATTCTCAGAATCCTAAAATTATCCTACTACCCATTTCTCTTTGAAGGAGGTGATTTTTATTGAGCAATTTTTTTTCAGACTTTAACCATTATTTGTCTTTATAGAAATGTACAGAAATTTGGATGGTTCAGTACCTGCCACATACCAGATCTATCACATGATAGGATGGAAATACCATGATTCTCAGGTAACATTATCAAGGCATCAGTTTTCTTAGTGGGTTCATGTTTATGTTTTATTATTAACTGAGAGTGTTTTTTAAAAAATATATGACAGGTTTAAGGGGTTAATCTATTTCTAATATCTTTAATCTTTATTATTTTCAGGCAAGACCGGCTGAAAGAGGTTCTGCAACTGTGTCATTTGGAGAGCTAGGGAAATTAAATCTTATGTTGCAGGGGAAAAAATCACAATAAATATTTTATTCAATGTAACATAGTCCACAATTTTCATGACACAAATGGGTAGCTTTCAGCCAGATGTGGTGGCATGTGCACGCACACGCACACACACACACACTCACACAGACACACACACCTGTACATAATCCCAGCTAGCTGGGAGGCTGAAGCAGGAGGATCACTAGTTTGGGGCCAAGTTCACCAGTTTTTTCTGTCACAGAAAAAAATGAAAGATGAATAATTTTCACATTCAAAATTACATTTTAGAGCAAGAAGCGATTTATAAGCTATTTACTAGTAGACTTTTCAAGTAATTATAATCAGCTAATATTGCATCCATATTTAATAACCATTTCAGGTTCACATTTTTATTTTCACAAAGATGCTGCTGTGTAATGATTTAGGTGCCTTTTTTGCAGATTCTGCCTAAATGCAAAGAATATTTTCCTGAAAACGTACAAATATGTTCCCATATACACAGGCCTGACTTTATGGGAAAACATTGCTTAATCATGACATTTTGTACTGTTCTCTCCTTCTGGTCTTTTGTTATTTCTGTGGGAGGACACAGCCATGGAGATGAGAGAACAACAAATTGGTAGGTTCTAAGAGATCTGGTTGATTTAGAAAGAAAACAGACTTTTTATAATGACAGCTATAAGGAACTTAAGCCAGAGTTTCTTGTCACACTGTTATCTTTTGTCTTGAAGAGAGACCTTCCCGGAGCTACTGTATGGTTTTGGACTTTAGTAGAGCATGTCTGATTTTTCCTTTTAGAAAAACATCTGAATTCTAATCATACTCCTTTTTTACTTTCATGATCTGGATGGGACCACCATGGTTTTAAACACCCCACCTTACCCTATGAAAGAAGAAAACATTTTAAAGATTTACAGAGGCAAAGTCGTGTGTAAAAGGCACTGTACCATGACTAACGTGCTATTTATTGTTGGGCTTTTCTTTGTGATTTCAAAGCCATAGCACTGTCATGCTAATCCAAGTTCACTGGGCTATTGTCCTCTAAGGTTCAGAAGTATTTGGAAACAAGTTCAGTTCAGACAGCTTAGAATTGGTGGGAAGAAGATGGTGATATAACAGAGACAATAAGGAAGCTGGAAGCAAACAAGAGTGAGTTCTAAGGCTGTTTTCTCAAGTCAATGGCAAGCTTTTTCCTGCCTTTGTGTTTAACCTGGGCTTGGCCTCAGCTTCTTTGGCATCAGGCAGTTTTTTATAGTATTTTCTTCCTTCTGTCCTCTCAGTCTTTCTCTCTCCTAATTGACTACCCTCCCTCTACCCTATAAGCACCAGTCTCTTTGTGAGTAGGAGCTATGTCTTACTCTGTATAGAGCATGGTACTTGGAATATAATAGTTATTTGCTTACATTTTGAATGGAATTAAATTATACAAAAATCATGCCTTTTGAAAGACAAAGTTAAAATCCCAGGTTTTAGAGGAGAAATCGCTGGTAACATTATGGTAAACTTATCATAAGTGGACATACCCTTCCATATACCCTTTGTTTTTAATGCAAAGTGAAAGATAGTACTTATGAAGTAGAATTTGGAAGGTGTTTTTTTCCTTTTTTTCAGATCATTTTCTTTAGTAGTACATGTTTGTAGTACATGTTTACCTTTCTAGTATAGAGTTGGTACATGTACATAATACATCTTAATTTCTTTTTTCTCTGTGTTTCCAAAAGGACATGAACATATATGCATTAATACTTATTAGAGCAAGAGGTGTGTGTGAGTGAGTGTGTGTGTGTGTGTGTGTGTGTGTGTGTGTTAGTCATTCTATTCCATTGCTTGTCAGGGGTCCCAGGCATGGCTAGAAAGTAGGAAGATTTGTACTTTTCTGCAAATTTGAATTTTCTTAACAGAGATGTTATTTCTGTTTAATGTGTCAGTAGTAAAAGTAATTTTGAAGTTAATATCTACTTAAAATATCCTATTAAGCTCTGATTATTTGGAACCCTCAGGAAATTCATTTCTTTGAATAGTCATGTTTTCCAAATGAAGAGCTCATCATTTGGAAACAAAACTTTTTTGTTGTTTTTTTAAGATAGGGTCTTCCTGTGTAGTTCAGGCTGGCTTTGAAAACTCTGCAGTCCTCCTGCCTCACCCTCCCGATTGCTGGGATTACAGTTGTGTGTCACCATGACCAGCTGAAACAAAACTTTTTAAGAAAGTTTTATCAAAATTTTTTACTGCTAGGGGTATATAGCTTAGTTGTAGAGTACTTGCCTGATTTGTATGAGGCCCTGGATTCAGTCCTCACCACTGGAAAAAAAAAATAAAACAATTATTATTTCTTGACAAACCTAGTTACTATCATAAACTGAAGTTGGATTTTGTTACTTGTTCCCAAATTGACTGGCCCCCAAAATGAGGTGGTTTTGAGTTTCTTTTCTACACGTTTCTTACTTGCTGTCATTTGTCAGTCTTAACAGCCTAACAAGTGAACTTCATTAAGTCAGTTCTTTCCCCTTCTGATCTGGTGCAAGATTAGTATTCTGATTGTAAGGCCTCTAGAACTCAAGTATACAGTAGGAAAGCAGAAGTAGGCTCTGGGAGGACTGTCCTCTGGAGTAAAATTCATAAACTTTATTGGTTCCTTGAACAAGTCTTCACTGAGTTTCATGTGGCAGTCACCCAAATGTTCTCTATTAGTTGTCAGTCAAGTAGAGCTTCAATGTGTGGACACTGTGACATCTGTTGGCTATGGGGAGACTTTCTGGATTATTTCCTGATTCTTGGCTGTATTCTAGGTTGTTGGCCTAGACTAGAGAATTCCAGAGGTAGCATTATGTAAAAGTTATATTTTTAAAACAAAGATTGTTTACTTTATAGAGGTAGGAGATTGAAGAGACCCAAATATATCATGTATGTGGTGTGATTTTAGGAAGTTACATAAGTGTAAGTCATGAAGCACCTGTGAAGTCTTGTTTTTCAAATCCTTTAGTACCATTTTCATCCACTAGGTGGAATCAACCACATTGTGGATAGTATTGAAGACCCATATTACAGTTTTCATATTGATTATATATCCCTTAAGGAGAAATGGAATAGAAGTGTTTTATTATGAATTGGCTTCTGGCTAGGAAAGCAATGAATATTAGTAGATACTTGGAAGAAAGATATTCGATATGAGATTATTATTATTCATTCATAATTTCCATTAGCTTCTCTTGCCTAAGATGAAATGTTTTGAACATCTTTTGAGAGAGCAAGAGAGGATCTTGTTGTAGTTAATGTGAAGTTTAGTTTCAGAAAACTTATCATAAGTGAACATACCCTTCCAGAAATTCCTATATTTTAACTTTCTGCTTGGATACTTGGCAGATAAATCTTGCTGGTTTAAAAAGCATTAATTTCAAAATAGTGGTGCAGTGAGCCCTGGTAAGTTGTTATTAAGAGATAAGGAAATAATATTTTGTTGTCTGTGGTAGTTTTGAAATCTATCCAAAATCTTTACTCTCTATTGTTACTGGTACCTGTTTGCAGTACACAGTGATTACATTCTTCATGGGGAGTTGGTACATGTACATAACACATCTTAATTCTTTTTTTCACCTTCCCCTCTTTCTCCTTCCTTTCATCTCTCGGTCCTCTTCCTGTTTGTAAAACATCTATTTCCGGTTATCTTTTATTTTGCTCATTAGGTTTAGGGTCTTTATTTTACTCCTTTTGAGTATGGGGACAGTAGTGACTCCTTTCCAACAGATAAAATGTGGAAGTAAAGGTGTGTCACTTCCAAAACTCAGTAATAAAAGACATTGCTTCCTCCTTGCTCTGTCTTGGGTCATTCAGTCTAGGGAAAGCTTCCTGTTGTAAGGCCACTAAGTAGCTCTGTGGAGAAGTAAAGGAGAGACCTCAAGTCAAAAGTCATGTCAGGAAGCCATCTTGGAAGCAGATCCTCCAGTTGCATGGCAAGTTTAGATGACTGAAGTCCCAGCTGACATTTGACCACCACTTCATAAGAGACCCTGAGCCAGACCCATAGAAAATGAGAAAATAAATATTTGTTGTTTAAGTCAAAACCAACTGAAGTCTGACCTATAGAAAATGAGAAGATAAATGTTTGTTGTTGAAGTCAACACCAACTGAAGGCTGACCCACAGAAAATGAGAAAATAAATGTTTGTTATTTAAATCACTGTGTTTTAGAATAATTTGTTACACAGAATGATAACTAATACATTCTTTCTGGGAATGCCCAAGGTATGCTGAGTTGTTACTTTAGGTATAAAACTCCACTTACTTAAAATTAGGTAAAATGAACATAAACCGCTTTAATTCATTGCCAGAGAATACCATGTCTGCGATATTTTTGCCTGAAGGTTTGATTCCGTGGTATCAAAATAGAATTTACTTTCACAATGTATGTTTAGTAGGCCTCAAATTTCATTTCCTAGGACTACTAGGATCAATTTCTTAAAAGTGTGAATGTGGCTATTTCCAAAAGGAAACCAAGGAATTTGGGAGGACTCCGACCTTAAGAATTCAATGAGCTGCACAGCTGTACATGGATTCCTCAGTCAGTTCCATTTTTTCTTAGCTGTTGAGTTGCTGGCAGCTCATTATCAGGATGGCCTGTTGATACAACACACTTGTTATCAGGTTCTCAAGTGAGCACCATGCTGTGGAAATAGGATAAGTTTTTTAAAAGGCAGACTTGATCCTGTCTTGCTGCTAGTCATTGCTAAAACCAGAGGTTAACTGCCTGACCTTTCAAAGTGGCTAGTGTAAACCATCCTATCTCCAAACTGCTCCTGTGGAATCATGTGTGTGTTCAGAAGGCATCTGATTGTGAATGGGAGATAGGGTGAGGAAGATTCCACATGAAGACTTGTCACAAGAGACTGAAAATGGAAGAAAAGGCAGAGCCTAGCATCAGGTAGTCTGTGTTCAGTCCTGGCCCTGCTCATTCTTAAGATTCAGAAAAACTCCATCTCTGCCTTCAGGATTTTTATCTATAAAATTAAAGGTTTGGTACTCATTCTCAAAGGAGGATACAGGCCTGCCTTCAAGTTCTTTTTGTTGTTGTTTTGAGTCAGGTCTTGCTATGCAGTTCAGGCTAGCCTGAATTCACTAGCCCAGACTGGGCTTGAAATCAGATCCTCCTGCTTCATCCTCCCCAGAGTGGATTATAGGGTGTGCCACCACGTTGGGCAGTGTTCAAGTTCTTAAGCAACTTCTTCAAATAAAGCATTTCCACTT